GTTTACTGTCCATCTATTGGCATAAAATCATAATTATTCTTGAATTTAAAGCTCAGCTTTTAACAAAATTAGCAATTTTCACAGCTTGATTCAAAACGATTTTCAGGTTTTGGGGGGGAATGTTTTGGCTCTTAAAGTTTCACAATGAATGGAGCAGTGAATAAATTTAGTTTCCAGTGTGACCTTCCTTATTTGAGAAATAAAACCGGAATGTTTTCCTGTTAAAGCCTGAACTTCATTGCTGCATATGGCAGTACACTTATTCCATGGAATATCATTCTCAGACATAAAATTGTCAATTACTTTGAAAATTTCATTTGCAGTTGCTATATCATAAAGAGATTCACAAAATAAATACTCTTTGGCAATTCATTTATCTTCTTTGAAACGTTTGTAAACTAATAATCAAACAAAGTTCATTATATCAATACTTTCATCCAACTGCAATGAGAAATACTCACTGTGTTTTATTTTTTGAATGTCTGTCTTATGGAATTTCTCATTTGATGAATTCGTCGATTTACTGTATCATTTGATAACAGAATATTATTAAGTTTATTTGCTGCTCTTTCATTGAGTGATCTTAAAACAATATCCTTAGCTGTAGTTAATATAATTTCTCCAATAATGTCAGCCAGCCCAGTCTTGGCAGTTCTTAGAATTACTAGGTAATTAGCTTCGAAAACTTTTTCACTTGAAGTAACAAAACCTTTCATTACTTGTTCACTATTTTTGAGCTCTGATAATTTACTCTTAAAATATTCTTCAGATTTATCCTTTAAATTGGCATGCCTAGATTCTAGATGTTTTTTAAGAAACGATGGTTTCATACTTTGATTCGATAATAACTCACCGCAAACAACACATTTAGGTTGAAGGTCACTTTCATTTCCATTCCAAGTAAACCCAACTCATAAATTACTTTCATTATATTTTCTATAAAAAAATTTTCTTTTCTTTTCAATATTTTTAGTACTGGTAGATTAAGATACAATAACACGCCGAACAAATATTAATTTAGAAGTCAAAAAAACAAAAATCAGTGTTATATTTTCAAATTTTCACTGTACTAGTTTCGATCTTTTTACCGAACCATCATCCTTAGCTGCAAAAGCACAAAAAAACTAGTAGATTGTCCTGGATTCATCACCTGTGAATCATCACTTTTCTGCTTAGTCAATATGAGCCATTTTTTTCATTTTGGAAATCTAGGTATGTTTTGTTATTTTTTCACAAATATTTAAATGCACAGTATATTTTGAGTTCTTCAAAAACAAACGACAGTGTTCTCAAATTGCGTAGAAACGTAAGCAATACAAAGCAACAGGAAGACAAAATAACCTGATGTTAAAGACAGCAAATAGACGTGTAAAATGATTCTACCTGAAAATAGAGCAATATGAGCCCAGAAGTTGTGGGGAATAAAGTATAGACATGCTAATAAATCGATAGACTAGAAGAATTAATGAAATACTATTATCCTTTTATAGGAACTTATTTTTATTTCCTGTCAAGTACAACATCCATTTCGCCTTTTTAAAATGTCATTTATGACAAATTTTGTTATATCCATGGCTAAAAGAATATTTGTTAAAATAAAGGCGAATTATTTTGTTAAAGTGTATGAATGGCTATAGATTTTGGGCAAAGCTCAGATCGCATAAATTTACTACTGTTAGAGAAAAAACTTATACAAGATTTCGGGGTATGTAATAGTTAAAAATGCTTTCTTACTTTTCTAACCGCCTATTTTGCTCTTACGCACCACCTGTGGTACCGGTTGGGAATCGCTGCTTTAGACTGAGATCATTATGGCTTGTGCTAGATTCAGTAATACAAATGCTTCAACACAATAAAAAAATCAGCATTTTATGCAAACTCAAAATGAATGAAGAGATACTTTGGCACAAAAAAACATAATCATCAATAATTCCCCTTTGTTATTCATTAATTCTATTCAGTCCAGTCAGTTTTCCTAACACTTGTTAAATGTTTTTTTTTTCCATGGTTGCCTTAAATCAAAATTAAGCTGCTTGGAGATATATCTATCATTTAGCAATTTATATACTGTATTTCAAATTTATTTGCCAATTTTATTTCAGTTTAAGTCCATTCTGTAATGTTTTGATAACACTAACACACTTGTTGGATCACAATAAGCAATATACACTTGTGTGCAAAATTAAGAGAATTTGCAAATTATGTCTATTTATGCAAAAAGTATTGCACCAAAGAATTATGCATGTCTTCAGAGTACAATATGTAAGCCTACAAGTGTGTGTCTGAGAAGTTGTGATTGTGGTGGAGATATAAATGCGTGACGGATTCTCAGCAATTTGTGTTCTCTTACTCCTTCACAATATTCGCCCTGTTTCTCACAAAGTATCAGGTACGATGAGTAGCCGTGAATGTATGGATGACTGAATGAGATAAGAATTGTTGGCAGATTAAAGGCAGGGCAAGCGCAAACCCTAGTAGCTATGGAGCTCAATGTAATATCCAATGTTGTCTGCAATTTGTGAAAACATTTTCAGGGCTAGATCCTTATTGAGAAGACCTGTGCAAGGTTTATTAAGATCCACAACAATGAATGAGTATTGTTATTTGTCATTTTCAGCACAACATAGTACTGCTACCACTTCACAGCTTCCAAATGAGCTGTATGCTGCTATCAGAACTCAAGTTTCATTATCTAGATTTTCCCAAAGGCTTCATGACATGAGATAAGGCTGTATGCCAGAAGACCTGCTGCTTGTGTCTTGCTGACCACAGCACTATAGACATTGTGTTTAGCATGGTGCAGGCAATATGTGCCTTGGACCAGACATTAGTGGAGCACTGTGCTTTTTAGAGATGAATCAAGATTCAGCCTAGACACTGATTGTCAGTATACCTGTAACTGGAGAGAGCTTAGAATATGATACCATCCCTCTCTCATCGCAGAAAAGGGTATGGTGGAGAAGGTGTAATGGTTTAGACAGGCATTAACCTGGATGGCCGCTTACTCCTGCATATGTTTGACAAAGGCTTTCTGATTGCTATGAGGTGTACAGAGGAGATCTTAAACTCTATGTGTGAATTTTCAGGTGTGCAGTTGGTGCTGGGTTACTGCTCGTGCGTCAATAATGCTCATCCCTATAGAGCGTAGATGGTCAACCATAACATGGAAAGTGACGATATTTGCATTCATGGATTGGCAGCCAGATCTTCTGACTTAACCCTATAGAGTATGTCTGGGTTGCTTTGGGAAAAGCAATTTTATTTGGTTGTCCCCCTCCAAGAAGTATCCTAGATTTGAAAACTGATTTGCTGCACATGTGGGTTCGACTGCCTCCTGTTTAGCATTCTGTCATGCTGTGCAACCTCTCTGGCTGTGATTCCACATTGGACTCACTTTCAGTTCAGTATCACAACATGACTTTTTGGCACTCTGCACTATTATCTTCAAAGATAATTCATGTGTACATAAAATGACTTTTGAATGGTACATTATCTTTCTGTAATAGATGTGTATTCATGCCAAATTTCATCAAAATTTATCCATTAGTTTTTCAAACGTTTGACGTAATTTGCAAATTCTCTTAATTTTACACATGAATGTATTTTCCGTGTTTTCATAAACAAATGAGCAGGAATTTAGATATTCAATAACATTATCTGAATAAAAAGCCGTAACTACAGTCAGATTAAGTGACCTTCTGTACAGTCTGTCTATCATAAGAAAAGGTCGCCAGTTAGTCTGCAGCTGTCAGTTACTGTAGAAATGAATCTGGACCCATTTTCCGTAGGGCTGTCTTGAAGAAAAATGATAAACTCTTTTCCCCTCAGCAAATTGTTGCCCCAAAACAAAATAACAATAAAGTAACCCTTAGTTCGCCCCTAGCGGGAGGTGTTCTTCTTGTAGACAGACAGTATTATGCTCTTTTATTTTTAAAAGGGGAAAATTCAAGTCACTGTTCATATAATTTGTGATGTTTATAGACAAGTGCTATTTCTGATGACATAGTTCTGAGAAGGTTTGAGAAGTTTATGAGCAGAAATTTCTGACTGAAAGATAATGCCTGCTCTAAATGACCATCTTTTTGTGACTTAAAAAAAACTGTCACTGGAAATCTGCATTTTACAGTTCTGGAGCTGCTGGATGGACTAAATATTCCAAAAAGTACAGTACTTGATTATTTAAAGAAGACTGGTCATTCATACCATTAGGATGTAAAGATGTGTAGGGTGTTTAACCAAGCAGAGTATGCTTGCTGGAATTTGAACATGTCATTTTTTGCTGGAAAGAAATAAAGAATCCCCTTTTTTTGAATGGCTTGTTCCTGGAGATGAAAAAGGGATACTATACAATAATGTTACAAGTCTAAATGCACCTCCTTTAGAAACATCAAGAGAGTGCCTGCATCCAATAAATGTAATGTTTTTTGTATGGAGGTACTACAAAGGAATTATGTATTAAGAATTGATACTACTGAATCAGGCAATAAATTCAGAAAATGCTGTTCCCAAATGGCTGTTTCAAAAAGCAGAAATTGAAGCAAAGCATTCTTAACTGACTAGACATCGAAGTGTTTTGCAGCATGATAGTGCTTGGCTTCCTGTTTGGATAAATGTCAAAAACTTGTTGAATGTGGTTGGGATGTTTTGTGCTACACTCCATATTCATAAGACCTCCCCCCTCTCAGATTTTCATGGGTTCAGGTCACTTCAAAATTCTCTGAAAGGCGTGGATTTCACTTCTTTGGAGTTTGTCAAGCAGTGCTCAATAACGTCTTTACAAATAAACATAAATGCCTTTTTTAAAAAGAGGAATTTTCTACCTGCCAGAGTGATAACAAAGAATCATAGAACAAAATGAGTCTTATGTCATTTAATGAAATTTTTTTATATTTTTGTACTGCTTCACTTGTATTTATCTTCAGAAACCTGTAAAACTGTATCAGATTAAATTTTATCTCTGCATCATTAATTAGTTTTGTTTCTTTGTTTTTATTACCAAGTTCCATTCCCGATATCATGTACCCCACCTGTGAATAGCATTCAAGATGGCTCTGGTTGGCAAAGTTCAAGGCATAATTTAATTCGTAGCCCAATATCGCAGCAAAGCAGGGTTGCTGCATGGATTCTAGATTCTTCTGCCATAGATCAAGGAAATAAAGGTAAGATATGAGAACTTCTTTGTTAAAACATTTTGATTTTATTTAGAAATAATGTGAATATTTATCATCCTTTACATTTTTTGGAATAATTTGTCGCACAGTATGTATTTTGCTTTTAAACTAGATTTTTAAAAGTGATTGAAAAGCTTGTAAATTTTTATTTTATTTGAATTATATATGCTATTTTAACATTCAGTGATAATAGTTAAAATATTTACTCTAATTAATTTATGGTAGTTTTCATGTGTTTTTTCTCTATTTAATGAATCCTATATTTAATTACAACTACACTTTTATTTAATTTTTTTTAATTGTAAGTGGAATTGTGTCTTTTGATTTCTTAGCTTAGACTTGTGAAAACTTAAAAAACCACTTGTGTGACAATTCTTTTGGCATACCAAATGTAACAAAATTATAAATTAAAGACACAAATAAATTAAAAATGAATATAATTGAATGACATTTAAGGGGTAAAAATTCAACCTCAAGTTACTCTAATTTGATTATTAACCGATTACTCAATGCAGATTGAAAATGACATAATATTACAAATTAAAAAAAATTAAGTATTTCAGCCCAATTTTTGTCATATGGAAATCAAACTCATTTTTATTTTTATAATGAGTATAAAATTTTCCAAAACATAAATATAAGGACTGAGTAGGTGTATAAAAAATGAAGATTTTATGATTTTTATACAACTGATGTTTTTAAATTTTAAAATGCCCCAACATAAATCTTTGTGTTATTTAAAACACTTTTGTAAACGGAAGTATATGTCTGTGAGACACCGTTGCTAAATTAAATGCTGAGTAAGGACTTTTGTGGATATAATGTATATTGTGATGAACACAGTTAACCGACATGCATTTTAAAATGATTTAAATGAACATAAATGCTAATAAACTGATGTTTTCTTTATTAGATCTGTCAAGTTTGCAAGACAAGATATATCAGTTGGAAACAATTTTACAACAGCTGGAAATGAATGCAAATACATCCATCGATAGTCATTTAGAGGTATAATAAATAATTCCATTTTTTTTAATATTTTCCTGGTGATGTAATTAATTACCCATGTTATTTTCAAAGCTCTGTTTTACCAGTCACATATAATTTAGTTGTTTATATGGTAAAATTATTTTTATTTATTTATTTATTTTTTGTTTTTCCACTTCCGTATTTAGTTATTAAAAATGACCAAGTAGAGAAGACCTTTTTAATAAGACTCCAGTATCTAATTTAAAATTATTTTTCAAAACGTATTTGTATTCAGATAAAAGAAACTCTTAGCAATGCTGATCAATTTTGCACAATAGCATACATGTAGTATTGCATCAATCAAGGTGAATTGCCAAAATGTAATTAACTTTCTAAACAAAAAAGAGCACTGCACCCTTTTTTTTAGTTATGTTGCCCTAAGTCTGAGAGTTTTCCTGATCTTTAGCTTTTGAGATTTGTAGGATTTTCTGTATGCACAAGAAGATATGAATTCATCATTTTATCCTCATATTTCTGTTGAAAAAATAATCAAAATATACAGTGTGTGGCTAGTGAATATTTTACTTTAATGAATAATGTCTGTAAACATTGATTATATTAAAATATCTTTAAAAGAGTGGAATATGGAGTTGTTACTGAGCATACAGGTTTGAACTCTGATATATATTCACTGAAGTTCATGAACTGCAAGCTAACTTTGAAACAGAAAGCAGTATGATTATTCTAATACTTGTGCTTGTTATTAAATATTGTAAAACACTGATGATTTCAAATTATCAGTATGTCAAATTAGATGTTTTCCATACATGGAGTTAATTAAAAAAATTATATTAACTGTAATAAGTTGAATTTCTTAATTTAAAATATCTGATGTGTTGAACTTTTTCAAATGACACTAGAATTATTTTTCTTTGCATTTTTCAATAAACTAAATTTTGATATTATTCAAAATCTATAGAATCTTTAAATGCATAGTAGTTTGAATTTCCACACATTTGCTTTTGAATTATTTAGTTAGCCTCACAAGTATATGCATCTTTGAATCTTTGAGAATTTTATAATGCACTTTAAAGATTAGACTATTTGAGTGAATCAAAGCACATGAAGGGTATCTGCGGGCGGGGGGGGGGGTAATAAATCAAATTTGAATCCTTTCCTGCAACTAGGGTGAACAAGTCCCAGCTGAGATACCTCCATATTAGACAGGAGTTGGGCAAACAAGTCAAAAATTACTTCAGAGAAAGGATACAGCAAATTGCTTTATGCTACAAACCGTGGGGCCACAATGCCGGAACAAGATTTAAACAAAGTAGAATTCTCTCAATGACCTCAATCGCTGAACTAGACCACTGGGCACTCATCAAACCTTGGGTGCATGGAGACCACAATGAGGGCAGGCAACAGTGACTTTAACTCCATATTCTGGCTGTAATGCTATCTACTCAGATGGCCAAACCCATTACAATCTGAGACAGCATATGCTTCCCTTTCTGGCAGTAGGAACTGGGGTTGTTTTTTGTACCCCTGGTGTCAAGGCTGCTTAGGTGTAGATCCTAGCCAGCACACTAGTCGACCCTTGTGGGGTCTGCCTGGGGTAAGGGATGCCTCCATGTTTCTAAGCAAAACTGCTCATATTCAAGTTAGTTGTGGAAAAAAAAACTACAAAAATTAATCATGCAGCCAGCTTGCTCATCAGGTCGAATTACCAGCATTCAGCAGTCTTGACAGCTAAGCCACTGTTGAGGCTGCACTTTAAAAAAACTGCAATTTGTTTTAGAAATGATTACATTAATGTGTCGCATAATATTTTTATTTGAATTAAAAGGAAAACATAATTGTTTTACATTTTTATCGTATTTCTGTAAACTTTTATTGTACTTATTGTATGAAATAAAAATGTCTTTAAAGTACTTTTTTTACACTACTGTATTGTTTTCATTGAATATTTCTACTTTTGAAAGAAAGAAATGCAAATATATTTGTTAATTTCATTATCATTTTTAAGTATGCAGTTCATTTCTGCATCAGAACTGAATAATTTCTTACAGTAACTGAAAGTTGCATTTTCCAATGTAAAGATAGAATTAAAAAATTGAATTCTTGACTTTAATTATTTTTAAAACTTCTTACTTTCTTCGGTATTTAAATAATTTTTATTATTAGTATCTGCAAAAATTTCCGTCGTGAACTTTCAAATATATTTCCGTGCATTTTTACTAAATGCATCATATTGTTTCCCAAAAATATCTTAAATTGAATTTTTGACTGCTTATATTTTTCCTGCTATTTTCACTTATACTTTATTGAAATTTGATTGCTCTTATCAGCTCATCCCTAGCTCTGTGGCATCATACTTTATACCAAGGATGATCATATATATATATCTGTATTACTTTCAAATGGATGATGTCATTTTCTTGACATTTCCCATTCCTATTCCAATTATTTCATAAAATGGCAATTTTTTTCATTCTAAAGTTAAAAATATACTTTTAACATGCAATTATAAATTCATGTTTGAAACCTTTGATTGTTTATCAGTATTATATGAATAACAGAAAAACTATTGAATTGGATTATCTGAATTGTTTGATTAGTATTGACATCTGCAGTAAAAAAGAAATGTAAGAATTGGGAGCTAGTTGAATGCCAGCCATAAAGAGAATATTTCTGCATCTGAGTGGTAGAAGCAAATTTTTTTTAAATGAAAAAGACACCTAGATTTTCAAGATTATGCAACTTTTTAGTGTTTATTGTTTCCAAAAATTTAATAAATGCTATTATCCATTGAAATACCCATTGAAAAACTATTTTCTGTTATAAATGTAATGGGGTCAAACGAGAAAGTTAACCTAAGAGAAAATGGAATCTGTATTGAATCATCATACAGAACTGAGATGGAGTCTGAGAAGTTTTGCGATAAAGTGTAAAAAAAAAAAAAAAAAAAAAAAAAACTAAAAGAAGTAAGAAAACTTCTGTGCAAGAAAAATGTGTTGGAGAAATACTCAGAGTAGACTCATAGCAAAATGTAATTCGCTTCTAAGTATGCCTAAATGTTTATATGTCTTCTGTTGCTGAAGAATGGTGGCGGTTCAACATGTCATAAAATATTTCCTGTCATTCTTTATCATGATCAACCTTCATCCCATTTGTGTCTGCCTTGTATCACATTTCTTTTTTGCAGAAGGTATGGTCAGCCGATCTATAATAATATCTTTACTGAGCAGCCATGGGGTTCGAAAGCTATTAAACTTTTAAAAAAAAAATTTATTTTATTTTATATAATCATGTTATTTATTTTATTGTTTTAAATATGAATTCTCAAGATAGGGAATGCATGTGTGTCATTAGTGTAGTTGAATATAATGTAGTACTAAGTCTGTGTGTTAATTTACTGTAACTTGCTATGTAGCATGATGAAAAATTTTCTGAATTTCCTGGAATGTCAGAATTGTATGTTAATACTAATAAGAAATATACATATTTCATATTGGTATGTTTATAAATTTATAGCATGTTCATAAAAATGATAAAAACATTTCAGACACATTCAAAATAAGAAAGAACATTCCAGATTAACCCTTCGAGTACACATTTATTTGAATTTTTTTTTTTTTGCACTTGGAGCATATTTAACCCTTTGGCTACATTTGATGTACCAGTACATCATGCAATTTATTTGGGCAAAGATGCACATGACATTCTGATATGTCATTAAAACTGAGACAAGATTTAGCTAGCTCATTCTGGTTTATTTCAAAGTAATGTCTACCTGTTGCAACAGAACAAATAATTTCATTAGTTTGGCGGACCTTGTTTAGGATACACAACCCCATAGTGACAGAAATAGAGAATATATTTGATCAAGGTGATAACGACAGTTTTAGTGAAAGTAGTAGAGACCTTTCACTCTATACATTGATTATCAGCTGAAGAATTTTATAATGATCCTTTAAGTGATAAAGGGGAATTTCAAAATAAAAATGATGAAGAATATATTGAACTAGATATTCCGAGATGTAATAGAGTTACAAGACGCTTATCAAGCAGTGATAGTGAATGGAAGAAAAAGAAAATCTACCTGATGTAAAACGGTTTTCTGAAGTATCTGGAATCAATACTTTTGGCCTGCGAAGGGTAGGTGTTAATAGTAAAGATTTAGATATTTTAAATGAAGTTCTAAATGAAGATTTTTGGAATATCATAGCAGAAGAGACAAACAGCTATGCTAGATATATAATAGAAAAGGAAGGTTTTTTTTAGAAGAAAAAAAAATGGAAGGTGGTTTTTGAAAATCGTCACTTTAATAAAATCTTCTTCAATGGCCAGACATCCAGGATGGGCCCTTGCCTTCCTCAGAATCGAATTCCAAGCTCTTCTATCCCTGGCCATGGACATCCAATTGGTTATTTTTAAAATTCTTAAGTCTGTTTCCAAACAGTCGAGCCACCTAAGTTTAGGTTTCCCTCTTTTTCGGTTGCCGAATGGTCTGACCGAGAAGATCTTTATAGTTACTGGATTTTCATCCATTGTGCACAGGTGTCCTGCCCATTTAATTCTCCGAATCCTTATATATTTTACTATATCTATTTCTTTAAAGGATTTATAGAGATCAGAGTTAGTTCTTCTTCTCCAGATATTGTTACATTTTATGCCACCAAAAATACTTCTCAAAATTTTTCTTTCAAAGACAGAAATGATACTTTTAGTTTTTTTCTGTCATTGCCCAGGTTGCAGCAGAGTTGTAAGAATGGGTCTGATTAAACTTTTGTAAATTAAAATCTTTGTTTTTCTGCTAGTGAAGTTAGACTTAAAGTATTTTTTGAGATTGAAAAAACATAGATTAGCATCTGTGACTCTACTACGGATCTCAGGCATTAAATCATTGAGAGTATTAACTTCTGATCCTAAATATTTAAATTTGCTAAAAGTTTCAAGTCTGTAATTCCCAATTTCAAAATAGGGGCTGCTGTTATTACCACATGGCATGTATTTAGTTTTATTTTGGTTGATTGCTAGATGCATTTTGCTGACTGCAGCCTCTAGAGATGTAAAAGGCCTCTTATCTTATTTTAGTGACTCGGGAGTGCATGTGACTATGTCAATATCGTCAGCAAACGCAAAAGTCCACTTTGATAAAAATATAGTCTCTATTTCTGTCATTATGGAGTTGTGTATCCCAAACAAGGCTCACCAAACTCCAAAATTATTTTTTTTCTTGCAACAGATACACATTACATTGAAATAAACCAGAATGAATTAGCTAAATCTCGTCTTAATTTCAATGCCGTATCAGAATGTCATCCGCATCTTTGCCCAAACAAATGCATGACGTACTACGTCAAATGTAGCCAAAGGGTTAAGAAAGTTATGTATAAAGCTAGTGTTAAAATGAAAGCAAAGCATTATTTTTGCTATATATTTTGAGGGTTGTCATGCCTCTTGGTCTGCACTAATTTTTGTCTCTTAAGTCTCTCAGTTATAAATAATTCTCATTGTAAGTCTTCTCTCGGTTATCTGCATTTCTATTTATGAACTTCTCTCTTACATATTTTAATTCTTGATATGCATCACTTTGTCTTGAAAGATTAAATGGCACCTACAAAACATTTATAATGTAGTAAGCTATATAAGGATACATTATTCTAGTATTCCTGTCAGATATTTAAACCTATGTTTCCAAACTTATCACATCTATTCATTTTATGTAATCTTATGTTTTACATATATGAGCAATATAAGCAAGAAAGAAAAGCATTAAAAACCTATTACTGCTGTTTTAGTTGCAGTAATCTTTATTCTTTGAAGAGCAAAAAGCTGAAAGTATGTTAATTTTTTAAGTAGCAGTTATTGTCATCAGTGTTTCATATTTTATTTAAGACTATCTAAATTCTTCAGTTTTTGTTCAATACTGTATTTTGAACAAGAGCAAATATTTTTAAACTTCCTTTTATGTATGCCGTACAAATATAATGGCTATTTGTAAATTTGGTATTTTAATTTTTGTTTGCTAGTAAAAGGAGTTCCTATAGTTTTCTATTACTCAAGTTTTCAGAGATATAGGTAGACTATATTTTAATTAATTAGATACAAAACCTTGAAGAGTTTAAAAGTTTAGACCTTTCACTCTATACATTGAACTTCTTAATAGCTTATGTTTTTTTAATAACTAATGAATAAAATATAAATTTCATATGAAAAAATTTTTTAGTTACCAGAAAAAGGCCCCGTTGTTAAAAAGGAAAGAAAGCGGTTCCAACTTAAGAAGAAGAGCAAAAATCAAAAAACATCTAGTTCCAACAATCAAAGTGTTGCAGTTAAAGGAAATAAATCAAATAAACAAAATGTTGCTATAATAGTATCAAAAGATGCATCTGCCACATCTTTCAACAGTACAGAAAATATTCCAGCTCTTTCAGAGAATTTTATTGATGAAAAAGGTGTAAGTAATTTCTCTATGTACATTAAAATGATTACATTTAACATGATAATCTATGAAGGATTTTTTTATATGGTATAAAGAGGGGAGTATTTTTATTGGTTTTTAATAACAGTACTTTTATTGGTTTTTAATAACAGTAACAAAGTATTTTATCAGTTGTATATGCTTTTTGTTTGGTATGGTGTTTATCTCTTTGCCTTTTAGATGCTTGTATTAAATTTAAACGCTCCGACTTGATTACTGAATGCAAGTAACATAATATTTGTTACCATACTTCATATTAATAAAAAATGATTTGTGTTTTAATATGTTATGTGTTGTTATAAAATTTTGTATGTGGGCATATGTAATGTAATTATTATGGCTTTTTATGCCATTAAAAGTGTTTGCATGTTTTTGTATATAAATGGCTCTAGTCAGAACATGAGGCATTACTTTTAATACTTTTAGAAGTTTTGTAAATAAAGTTTGGCGATATTTAGCTAAGTTTCAGAAATAAGAGATATTCTGAAGATTATTATGCTATAGTAGTAACTGTTATATTCGGATACCAGAGAGCTTTGATGAAACATTTAAAAACTGAATTATTTGAAAGAGGCCATGTAATTTTTTTTTTTTTTTTTTTTTTTTTTTTTAAAGATTTGGATTGAAGATAATCACAGTATAAGTTCTTAGGTTTTAATGTAACAGTTTTTTATATCTAAACTATTACTGTTTTGAAAGGGGAAAAAAAGCATAGCAAAATGTGTGATGACATATATTTTACTAAGCCTTTGATAACTATTACTTCCTTTAACAGTAACATCTATTAACTCATAAACCATGAAATCTTCTCATATTTTGATGAAACTAAATGAATGAGCTAGTGATTAATTTAATGAATTAATCATAAAATGAACTGTGGTAAGCAACACACTGAAAAATAACTTAATTCTAGATATGCTGTCATGTGCTCCGTTTCCTCTCAGATAATTACTAATCAGTACTTCCTTTACAATATTATAAATGAGTAGTTTATATATCTTGCATTTTTGAATTCGATGAGACTAAGGGCATTATAGTATAGCATAAATTAAAATAGTTTCTTCAGCTTAATGGTTGTGTATGCTTTTTGTTTGGTATGGTGTTTATCTCTGCATCTAATGACATTTTGTCTTGAAGCAGTATATCTGTAGTTTTTCTTTTAGCATTCTCATATGTATTCTTCAAGGATTAAGTGGATAGCATGGTTATCTAGATTATATTTTCTAGCAAAAGAGGAATTAATCATATGATATTTTATATAGCAGATCTTTATATTACACAAGCAATCATTCCTTCTTCAGAAACACATAGGTCTTGCATTTGTGCCTTGATTGAAATGACACAAAGCAATGGCTCTAATCCTGTTTTACACTATGCACCCTTTTCACCGTTGTTAGATCATTCCCCCTTCCTTCTTTCCAAAACTCGAAAAGTACATATATACATTTATTTGGATTTATTTTTTATTACGTTTATATAAGTAAAAAGTATAGGAAATGTTGATAAATACCAAAGCTTGAATAAAGTAGCTTTTACATTTATAAACTAAATACTTAAAAGCCAAATAAAATTTTGCCTCCAAAACTGTGAACCCCCCCCCATTGCAAAGCCCTGATCTAGGGGTATTTAAAGTTTTAAATGAGTAATTATTTAATTACATATTTTAGTTAAGTTTCCCTTTGATTTTTCATACTTAAACTGGCATGATTACTAAAACTGCATGGATTATTTACTTACTTAAATTGCTCGGTTAAATTTTGGACTCTGTTTTAATATTTTTGAAGCTTTCAGCCTAATTAATTTTATTGAATCAAATTTTCTTGGTTTGCCAATCTTTTAAGATACAGATCCTCCTATTTATTTGTGTGACATAAATACCTTAGGGAATATTCCTGAAAAGCTAGGATTCTTTTTCACCCATATAAATTTTTCCTTTGATTGATTAATTAATTTGTGTATTTTTGCTTAAAAATTCCTCACCAAATTTGCTGTTTTATAGAAGCTAAGGATGGTAAATATGTTTTAAAGCTTTCATAAACAGAATGAAATATTTCTGATTTCTGTGTCTTGGCAGAATTATTGTCATATTGTTGACAGCATCATATACTGTGTAAAATAAAAATTGCATTCACTGAAGTAATTTTATTAGTTACTTAAAATCATTAATTAATACTGTTTAATGTTTTTGAATGAATTTTGTGGGTTATGTGTACGAACTCATTTAAAGGGTTTTAATTTATATTAAAAATAAATAAAAATAAACTAAGAAAGAGTTAAAATAATTTATCTTAACCTACGCAACATTGTATCAAATCTAAAATATGTATTGAACTTCTCAGATTATTATTTTTAGACTTATATACCCATGCTTGTGTGCATATTTTCTGCAGAGAATAACCATTGAAAAGAAAAGTCTATCGAAATCTTTAATTAAATTTATTTTAAATTGATTTAAATGTTTTCTTTTATAAAAAAATGGGTATAAAGAAAATAATTTATCACAAAAAAATATGCAAATGATCCACAAAATATATGCCTTAAAGACATGTTTATTAACTAGATTTTTACTCCTTGCCACATTTTTATGAATAGATGCATTACCTGCTTGTTGATCTGATTATTTTTGGAATCATTTTTTTTATCATTTCGATTACTTAGCTTTCTAACATACATATAAAACTCCTGGTTCTAATTCTGATAACACTAATTTGGTATGTATGATATAATCTAAAATAGACATATTCAGTTATTTTTATCTAATCAATATTCTCTTTGATGTACAAAAATGTTTGCTTAAATTTTAAATGTGGAAATAAGAGCTTGGTCTTGGGATTATATCAGAGATGCATTATTAGACGGAGGGGGCCACTGGGTGGAAAATAGGATGGCTAGGTTTGTTGTCTAATGTTGTCTATGTGGCTAATGTTATCTTGATTACGTTAGTGTAATAAATTCAGTATAACCATCCTCTGAAATTAATTCCCTCTTAAACTTAATGCCCATGTTTTAAAAATAACATTGAACTAATTTAATTAATAAAATAGATGAAAACTGCTTTTTCTATGTGTTCTGTAATAGCTTTTAATACCTTGAATTACTTTATTTTAGAATCTATGTATTATTCTATTGCAGGAAGATTAAAGTTTACTTATTTGTCCACTTCATACATTTTTTTTCTAAATATAATGTTAGAAATGTAACTGAGAATTAAATATGCGAAATATGCTTCGAAATGCTATGAAGATGATATTTTTTCTTCCCCTCCCTTTTTTTGTTTCCTTTTTTTTTTTTCCATTTTTTAAATTTTTATTTATTTATTTTGTGTGTGTGTGTGTATGCATGCATATAGCTTGTGTGAGATAATTCTAGAATGTTTTGCAAGTAAAAAGTAAATAATACGTTTTACAATGATTAGCATCTACAAAGAAAAAAAAAAAAAAAAGTTAGTATTGTACTGTGTTGAATAAGAATAAAAGTTTATTATTCGATAACAAACTTTTTGCATTTTCTCAAATAAAAATAATATGACTGAAATTTTTGGACTTAGCAACTTACCAAAATGCATAGGTTGATGTATTGGGTAGTGCAAGTTGCGTCGCTAGGGGACTCAAAATCAATCTGTGTATTTAAAAGAAAAGCATTGTAAAGTTGTAAAACTGTAGTAAACATACCAGGTGTCTTAAGATGTTGGATGACAGACTCTCAAGTGTTCAGGTTAGGTGGACACCTACTTTTCAAATTCAAGATGACTTTAAATGTATTGCAACTTTATTTTCTTCCTCTTTAATGCTTTTCTTTAAAACACCATATTTTTAGTGTAGTCATTAGAAACATCTTTTCTAATGTAAAAACACATGGAGAAAGCAGATAAATTCTTTCAAAATGATAAATTTCTCTGCTTATCAATTGGTTTCTTTTCATCTTTAGCCATAGAATCCAGTTCTATAAATTGGCTCCTCAATGATAATAAGAGCTGTTTTGTAATTTAATAGCAGTAAGGCAGTGTTTTTTATTATACAACTTGTGATTTTTATAATTTGCTAAAATTATATTAATCATATCTAGTACGTTATTCGCTTCTTTTTTTGGTGATAATGTGCATTTATATTCTGTATTCATGTAATTAAATTTACCTAGCTTAACTATGTATATGTCTGTAAAAATTTTATTTGTAAAATATTAAGTGTATTTTCTATATAATTAATGAATCATTACATGTACAATAAAATTTTAGTTATCTAATTTCAAATACTACAAATTTGTTAATCTTTGCACTGTGAGAAAATAGTTTATAACCGTAACATATTACAATAGGTAAGTGATACTGGGCTGCCAATTTCTGAAATGGCTCACCTTAGTTGCTCCCATCCTTCTTTAGCCAGTAGTGAAGATATGGTTCGTCCACACAGTTTACCTGATTCAGTTTCATTAATGACATGTGCCCTACCAGACCCCAGTTCGTCTTCCACTCCAAACAGCCTTCATAAATATCGTGAAGAATTTGTTTCATTAGCTAAGCAGGGTGAGCTCCTTCATAAAACTATTAATTATTGTTTCTTTTTAATGAAGTTTTAAAAAAAAATATGTTCATGCATGTAAACAGGACAAGCCCTGGTGAAGAATTTGATGGACTTTGCCTAGTATCCCAATATACATGGATAATACATTCCAAGACTTAATGTGGATATGTGGAACCACATATAACAGCAAACACTATAAAACTGAAAGTTCATTTAACGTGCATGACATAGGTTAAGCTCAATTAGTAAATTGTTCAAGAAAGATATTAATAGAGTGAATAATATAGTAATGATGTATTTCATACATAGCAATATATCATATGCTATACTACTAAATAATGTATAATATATTACACACTGGCATTTATTTATACCTATGAAAGTGAAGGATTCTGACATCTAAATTATATCTGCTAAAAACAACGGAGAAATGAAAAAATGCAGTTCTTATATTGTGTGATTTATTATATTGTTTCAAACAAGCAAGAATTATAAGTTTTCCCATTTTTCTACTTGCAGTTTATTATAGGATATATGTATTAGTGTACTTGTTACAGTTATAGTATTATGTTAGTATGCTTGTAGTTTCCATGCATTTGTTGTAATATTTCTCATGTGTTTTGAGTCTCTTATGTGGTAAATATAACTTTAAAGAATGACAGGTAAAGTAATATCACACTACCTCTGACACCTTATAGATGATATTGCCAACAACATATTTATGAACTTTAAGTTGGTGCTCAGAGTTTGAGGAATTTCAGTGACCTGAGAATATACATAGAATTCTGCAGTGTACATTTCCATTCCCTATACTTAGTTATGTCAGTCAAAATTTTCATAGTATTTGGCATGCTTAAACTGATATATTTGGGGTATGTTAGAGACTGTCACTTTGCTTGCATGATTTCTGAAATTTACAACAGTTTTTTTCTCTATCTGTCGTTCTGAAATGCAGACGACTAATTACATGCATGTCATTTAAACTTCAAATGTTCCTCAACCAGTTGTTAAAATCAATGAAAAAAATATTGAGTTTATTCTGAACTGTGCACAGAAAGTTTTAAAAAGAAGTAATTAAAAGTTGTCACTGTTATAAACATTAAATATCAAGACTAAAGTTTCTTATAAGAAATAAGATGTAAAATGTTTTTCCTATAAGAAAATATTTTTAATTTTAAGCAAAACATAGTGTCATCTGTAGTTTTTAAAAAACTGCAAGCATTTGCCTTGCTAATGTCAAGTTGCCAATTTTTTTTAGTTAACTGTAGTGACCCTAATATAAAAATATTTTTTCCCCTCAAAAGGCTTTTTTGTAACTGTAGCTCTAAAATTTTAGAAACTCCTTTACCAAAATTAGCAATGAATGAATCAGTATAGAGGCATTTATTTAACACTATTATTGTTATTAAGATTAATAACATTGGTATATAATACCTTGTACTTATTTTTATGTGGATTGTAAATGAATTAAATGTAATTTTATTTCTGGAAGTTCATGCCATAATAAGTAATTGAAACTTTTATGAGGTTGTCCAAAGCCTAACTGGTTGCTCGCTATATGAATCCTTTTGGAAATTCTTGAATAGTTAAATGTGTTCCTTCTCCACCGAGTTATACATTGTTTATTTTGGGCTTAGTCCTTTAAGTAAAAGTATTTTATGATTAAATTTTATTTGAAATGAAATTGAAAGGGTTTATACTTTATTATTCTAAATAATAATTCTTTATTTCATATTATTTTTCTTGTAAAGCTCTGAATTATGTTTATTTCCTCTGCTAGAAATAGCTAAATTCAAAAATATATATTTCATGGTATAACAAATTACTCTGCAGAATTAATGTGCAATCTAAAAATAATCTTGCTCAAAAATATTCAGTTTATTTTTTAAAAACATTTTCAGAAAGTGCTTTGTTTAGTAATAGGCATATAATTACTTTTAAATATATCTTGCTTTCTATGTTCTTAGTTCACAGTGGTTTAAAATCAGTAGTACGCAGTTTGCAAACAGAAAGAGAGAGGTTAAAACAAGTCTTAGAAACTGAAAGTGTTCCCAGCAATAGCAATAGTGGTGCTCTTATTGCTAGTTTAAGGAATTCACTTAATCAGGTAATATACTAGAATCCTTAAACTAATAAGTTAAAGAGCTATTGATTTTCTTTGATTTAAATGCATAGTTTTCTGTAGAAAAAAATTATCAGAATTTCTATCATTTCAAGTAAGAGAAATGGTCTTTCAAAATTTTATTTTGGAATTTATTCATAACTTAGAACTATTTGCAGTTAGTCCATAAAGAAGATATAATTTTTAGAATGCATAAAAAATTTCAAAGTACATGTAAGCATTTGTGTTTATCAAAATTTAGTTTTAATACTTTGCAACTTCATTTTATATTGCTCAAATGCATTTCAAAAGAAGTTTTTCATTTAAAAAAACAACAACTTTCTAATAATTTTAAATTTTCATAAGTAAGCCACTAATTATACATTCTGAAAACACTTGTATTTCTAGGCAATGCAACAAAATAAGGATCTGAAAGCTAAGTTAACAGAAATTCATAATATAACTGATGTAAGCAGTATTGCACCTCCTGTAGGTACACCTGCTGCAGACAATGATGAACCTACTGTAAGTTGTATTAGAAATTTTGAACTTGTATCTTTTTTAAATTTCTTATAGCAGTTGTTTCCTATCTTTCACAAGAATATCACTTTTTAAATCTTTCTGAAATGTAATATAATTTGGTATAATAAACTGTATCAGTATATTTTTTTAATGAAGTACTATAATTTGGTATAATAAACTGTATCAGTATATTTTTTTAATGAAGTAAGTAATTTGTAAGTATACTGATACAACAAACTGCCACAACAATATTTTTCTAAATATATGTATATATATATATATCAGTTTACTTTTAAATCGGCAGAAACTGTAGTTTTAAACAATTTTATGAATTTCATTCTGTTAAAATTCAGTTCTTTCTTTTACTTTCACACTAAACCTACCAATAAATTCATTAGATTATTCAAATGCATTAAAAATTTTAAAATAATTTTCGCTGGACTAAGACTGTGTAGGGGAAAGGTTTGGTCACCTTTTGTAATGTGCTTTGTTCTTCATTGTTTCTTTAAGCATTTCCATTCAAGTTCCTAATATATTTTTTATAGCTGGTTTTATTCAGTTGATCTTTTGGATCAGTAATTCAAAACATTGTGCCATGATACTTCCAATACTTTGTAATGCTAGTAAAAATAACTTGACTCGATGGATTTTGAAAAAAGAACAACAGAAAAATATCCAAGATCCTAAAAATTTTTGTCATACAGATAGATGATTTATTCGATTACAGTAAAAAAGTTAGAAATTTAGCTTCTCATTGCTTATACAAAATTTCATTTCTTAATGGAATTAAAGACAAACTCTATGCACATATTTCTTGTTTAGCAAACCCACCCACCCCAAACTCCCACGCTTCTTATGTTATTTAGAGCTGAAAATTTCAGCTTGCACAAGTAGTCTGTCTCAGTAATAACTACTTCTGCTGGTATTTCTAGGTTTTCTTCTTTCATCAACATCCAAACTTTAAAATTTTTCATTCGCCATCTTTTAGTTGAAGCATTTTGTCTGACTGATGTTCTGCCATTTGGTTCTTCTCCTGCAGAAGTCGACAACCAGGAGCCAAACGGTAGAGTTGCCGAGTTCAGTTTGGGGCTGAAATCCTGCTGAACGAATTAGCTGCATGGTGTTTTCATGGTTTCTCCATGTGTAATGTGTGCACAAGCCAGTTTCTCATAGAAATGAAGAAAACCCTTTCCTTAGGCAGATAGCCCTCGGCTGCTTTGCCATAATCAAATCAAATAAACCAGCAGGAAGGTAATATTGGGGGTCATAGCATAAGGATATCACAACCACCAAACTTGGTGGCAGTAATGGAGAGAGAATATTTTGTTATATGATATTTAAGAGCTAGAAGGTGATCTGAAATCAGTTGTGATGTCTCATCCACATATGGATCTACTTCGAAAGTTGAAAGAAACGTCTGAAAATCTTTCTTTTCCTCTTTTAATTAACAAACTTAGTAAGTTTATTTCTTGAATGATTTCACGTTTCAGCTTTCCTTGCATATTCTTAACCTTTTATAAGGCCATTTTTTCCCTACCGGTGGTATTTTGGGGTCTGATATTGATTCAAGAAAAGGAACTCATTTAACTTAGATAAAATTAATTTGATTTTTAAAACCCCCTTTTTTGTGGGAATTACGTTTACCATCCTCCCTTGTGTGCTATTAAAGACAGAACATATTATGCTTTATATTTCTTTGTGTTTTACTGTATGAAATTTATAAAATATATTTTGTAAATACTGCAGTCTGCAAAAGGGATTGTAAATTAGATCTATTTTATATTCACATATAATGGGTTGTTTGCATCCCTGCAAGTGCTAGGCTGTGTAAATCAGCATTTTTGCTTTCCACAACTGAAAATTATTCTTTTAATCTATAATCTGTTTCTTTGTCTGAATCCATAGGGGTTATTTGTCAAAATAATTCAATAGCTGCATATTCATAGCTGCATTCATAGCTGCAATCTCTGCTGCATATTTCTTGCATTTTTTATACATTTCCACTATAAGTGTAAATAATAATTCAACTAAAGCTAATTAGAGATTCCCAGTGAGGGCAAAATATAAAGAACTGCCAAACATAATTCAAGATTTTACTTACCATTAACAATTGGCCATAAGCTTGAGCTTCTGTGTTTACACTCTGTGCTTGTAACCACAAACAAAACTGTTTAGAAATGATCAATTGAATGAAGGGTTATACACTTGAAAAAATGGCATCCTAGGGTTGTCTCTTCTGCTTCATTCTACACTGACCTTTGTTAAAGCCACATTATGTAATCAAGCATTCACTGATATTGTTTTGCATTTTCTGCCATTGTTACTAGATCACAACACTAATCAGACATGGTGATAATTATATTTCCAATGGGCTTAAAAAGGATTAAATAGTTTAATTGGCTGGAAATATCAGCTAAGTATACTACTTTTCCAGGTCACTGCTGGTCTTTTAATTAAACGGGAAAATTAAAGCTTTTTATTTTTCAGTAGCTCACAAGTGGCTAAATAGTTAAAACCATTGAATACTGAAAGTTTAGCTTAGTTTCAAACCCAGGTGACTAGGCTGGGTGTATAATTGCTATCAGAATGGTTGTTATTAAGTACCCCAAAAGTGAGGAAATTATCAGAAAGCACATGGTCAAGTTTCTCAGTCATTCTTTGATTCAATATTTCGAGAATTAAAAATGTTATGTAGTGATCCTGTTATATTTTTGTGACTTTGTTATATTATCTAAATTCAGATGAATTACGTGTTGGTCAAGTAGATTCACTATTATAAATTCATTCTGTAGTGATGGCTATGCTTCATTTTCATACACTTTTTTGCTGTTTTTTGTTAACTGTTATAAATTGAAATACTTGGTAATAAATTCAGCTCTCATGTTCTTATACCTGCAATTCAGTAGGCCTCAGTTTTTGTCTTTTGTGTCGCTCGAAACAGAATATTATATTTTTATATGAGTTATGTAAAATTATTGCCCTTTGCCCATGCTTAATTTAAAAATTGATGAAATAAATTGCAAATAAAATCACTCATCTTGATGGGCTAAAAGCAAGACAGTTACTTCAGATGTAAAAGCGTGCATGTAATTAGTTGATGCTAGATATATTTTTTTTTTTTTTTCAAATGAAATACAGTCTTGGGCAAAGCATTATTAATTTTAAGCATAATTATCCATAGCATATGGCATTGTTAGAAATCAGTCACCATTTAAAATTCTGAGCTGTAATTATATGTCTTTTTTGTATGAAAGCTTGCTTTAGAAAAAGTTTTAAGAGAAAAGGTTACTAAAGAATACATCTTCATTATTATAATTTTTTTAATTTACAAATATCTGCAATTATCTAGTTATTTTATTGTTAATTATTATATCAGACTATATATGGAAGTGAATGAAAGTTTGTTACCTCTTGAATGCTATTTGTTAAGGTATTTCTCATGAGAAAAGGCCAATGCATCATGAAACACACTACTGTCAGAAATAGTGTAATTAAAATTAACTCAATCATCTGCAGTCCAAAAGGTTAAACAAGCAGTTTGCTTAAGCGAAATTAGGTTTTATCTTACAACTTGAATTTTTGATTCATCTTTATTATGATCTCTGAATTTGATTTGGTATTTTTTTGCAAAGACATAATCCAATGAAGACATGCACTGTATATCTAAAATATGTGACATTAATTGTGCCTGTTGTAAAGTGCATTCGTGTATATGAAACATTGCATTGACATATATTTTAATGTGAAGTTTTGGTAATTAAATTTAGATAGAAGTAATTTAAATGCAAGATATATGTATACTTTGCTGAAATTTTTTCATGTAGTTTTCATTTAAATTTCATGAAGGTTCTTATTTATTATCTCAGTTTTGGTTTGCAAAATTATTTACTTAGGAGTATGCAGTCATACTGAATTTAGAAATCTATGAAATTGGGGGCAAATCTCTTATGGACATTCCTTATCCTCTCAGTTCTTTCAGTATAGTAAATATTATTGGTACTGGCTGAATAAAATACTTCACAAAATAGCCTAATAATTTACTATGCCTAAATGTAAAATACATATCTCCTTTCTGTAAGTTTTGTTTGTATGGTTTCAATTCATTAAGTCTACAGTTTTTGCCAAGATAAAACAGTGCACGATTTAAAATTTATGCAATTTGAAAAGAATAATTTTCTATTTAAGGGTAGGATTACAGGATTTATTTTTTAGGGGGGTTGCATGCAAGCATGTATACGTATTCAGTATAATAGCTTTTTAATACTATGTTAAAGATTTGTGTACAAGAGTGGATTGAACTGGATGTTAGCTTCTTGCATTGGTAGATATTTACTGTTTACCTGTCAACTAAAGACCAAAGGGAGACTGTTTTATCGATTATTTTAGATATTTACAACCCAGCTAAAATCTAGGATAAAAACATAAGCTTTATAGGTCTTTGAATTTTTACTGTTACCATGTGTACTCTTCAATTTGTAAACTGATGATTTTGCTAATTACAAAGAATTAAAGCAAAAGATTTCATAATACTTCTTTTTTCTTCAAATTCTGCTTGATAAGCTGTAAATTTACAGTCATACAACTTTCATACTTTTCTAGTTAATACATTTTTTCAATATTTAATATAGATAAAAAAAGGTAACTTCTAAATTTTGTATACATATTCTTCATTTACAAGATCTATATTAATTTTCTTAAATTCCTCTAAAAGTGTTGTACTATTTCTCAGCACTAAAATTACGGTATCAAGAAAGAAAAAGCAAAGCGTGCAAATTTGAGGGATTGTAGGTGTAGTTAAGTCATGCAAATAATCAAATTTTTTACTACTAACTTCAATGAATGGCATGTTCAAGGGACTCAAATGTTATAAAAACTTGGGTCGTATTGAAATTTTTTGTATAAAATGTTATGTCAGAAATTGACAATGGTAAGCAATATGTCAAAACAGAGAGAGAAAGAGGATCCTCTCATTCCAAGCACTTCACTGTGGCTGACCGTTACAC